AAGAAGAAGAAATAGAGGACAACAGAAAAGAATAAAGTGAAAAGAGAAGGAACAGTTACCAACAAAAAAAGACATAAAAACAATGAATACTTCAATGACAAAACATTATTTACAATTCTATATTTGGATACTCAATCTCCTTCTTATAACCATGACCAAACAAAAGAAGAAGATAAGTAAGAAAAAAAAAAGGGATTAGAGAAATGAAAACCATAAAAAATGTCCTGAATTGGTAAAGATTCTTACTGGCACAAATTAATAATTTTACTTGAGTTAGAGCTCCAAATTTTTTTCTAGCCACGACCTCCTATACAAATCACTCCTTATCCTAAACACAAATATAGAATAATCAGATTTTGGATTAAGCAACCAATCATTAACCAAGTTGCAATATAAATTTTTTTGTGGGTTCAGTTAGTAGTTTCCAAGTAACTTAGCCAATGGAACATAACTAACATTTACACTTTTCAAAGCAATTGTTATAGTTACTATAAAGACGAAATAGAAGCACAAATTTCAAGCAATAGGGAATTAGAAGTGTATGCGAAAGAACAATTATGAGATGGACAGATATAATTATAGAAGCCTCAAGATGAAAAAATGAAAAAAGAAAGCTTTCTACCTTCAGATCATCTTCATCTTCCCTGAAAACATATGTATTTGGTTGAAACGACAAGTGAAAACATGAAGGCTTTGGCTTGAATAGCACTTCAAGAGGATTGTAACTGTTGCCTTGTCTATCTCCTTATTATTAGGAATTGTAACTGTAATTAAAGTAAAACCGTGAAGGCTTTGACTTAAAACAGTACACTTGAAGAGGATTGTAATTGTTACCTTGTAGGAGTTGTAACTATAATTAAGCGTGAACTTTTAAGATAACTGATTGATTATTCTTAACTAAAAAAAAAATCTAATTTCCAATTCTGATGAATAAGTAAAATAACTGCCAACATGGGAGGCAGTATCCATTGTGAATAATTTTGTTCCTCACGTTTGAGACCACGATCAAATCGTGGAGTTTTTTTTTTTTTGTTTTTTTTTTTTGCTTCATTACTATTTCTATGTAAAAAGTTTTTTGATGAATTTTTAGGTTTATAACAGTAATAAATTAAATAAAAAAACTGATGAAAAACGTGGGAGTCTGGAATTGGAATAAATAGTTTTCAGTTTTTAAAAGTATTTGCCAAAAAACGTGGGACTCCATGATGTTAATTAATAACTAAATTGGTTAATATTAAAATTTCGTAATTTCTTTTCTATTTTAAAATTTTTTGTGTGTCCAAAAGTATTGGAGTTTTGTCCTAAAATATGACATGTGTTAATATTTGGTGTTGACACTTGCATTAATTTCATGGATTTACTTCTCCTTTTATATGTTAACTAGTATTAGTACCAGCGCGATGCGCGGATACAAACATGTGATTTGAGTTATTTGATTTATGTGTAAATAACTTTAAAATATTAATCTTTCAGATTAAAGTTATATATAATCATTAAAAATATATTAATAAAAAAGCAAAAATTTCTCAAAAAGCAGAAATTTCTCAAATTTCTTGTCCATATTGCATTACCCATAACTTAAAATTAATATATTCTTGTCTGTTACTTCCATTATAATACATTATAAGTAAAAATATGTTTTTTTTTCTTGTAGTAAAATTTTTTATTTACTTTTATTCTTTTATTCTATTGTTCCTATTAATGTATAAATTTATCATATTTTCTAAAATACCTATATTATTATCTTTATAATTAATTAAGACAAAGGTGTTGTTTTTATCTTTTAATTTATTTGTTTTTTTAAAATTTTATTAATTAAGATAAGACAGACAATATCTTCACAAAAATATTCACTTTCTTTTCATTAAGATTCAAAAAAAAAATTAAATTCAAATTAAGTATTAGTATTAATATTATCCTAAATTGCCAAGTAGTTTTATAGTAGTTTGTCACTTAGCTTAACCACAATGCAAAGTTTATTCGTTATTCTTTAATATACTTTCTCTTCTCAAAAATTAAATAAGTCTTATCCTTCCAAATATTTCTACATTGAAATTATTTATTTATATTTTTTTCTCTTTTTCTTTTAATTTGTGTAATTCTATTGTTCATATTAATGTTTAAATTTATCGTATTTTTTATAATACCTATATCTTTATCTTTATAATTAATTAAGATAGAGGCGTTGTTTTTATCTTTCAATGTAATTTTTTTTAAATCTTATTAATTAAGATACGACATTCTGATTTGAAAAAAAATATTTTATTTTAAATTAAGTATTAGTAATAAAATTATGCTAAATTGCCTAGTGGCTTTATAATAGTTTGTCACTTGGCTTAATCACAATGAATTTGGTTTTATAAATTTGTTCGATTTTTCAAGAGTAAACAATATTACAAAAAAGCACGGCAGGCTTCAAAAAAGTCTTTCGATGTTACCCTGTTCAATCATATTTCTTGCAAATACCTTTTAATGCCTAAAATTAAAGCGGCAAAGTAGTTTTAAATAGGATTTACAATGTCCCATAACTTTAGTCATTTATTACTTATTAGTCCAATTAAAAATGAAGATTTTCCAAATCTTCGAATGTGATACAAAATTACAACATTATATTTTCTTCTTTTATATATATATATATATATATATTATATATATATATATATAATATATATATATAATATATATATATATATTATATATATATATATAAGAGAGAGAGAGAGAGAGAGAGAGAGAGAGAGAGAGAGAGAGAGAAGAGAGAGAGAGAGAGAGACTACTATATTAGAAAGAAATCACTCCTCAATTTAAAATGGCAATTTTTATTTTATTTTTCCATTTTTTATTTTTAAAATAATTTTAAACTCCAAATTGAAACCATACCCAATTTGAATTGGCAATTTTTATTTTTTATTTTAGTTTTTTATTTTAAAATAATTTTAAAACTCGAAATTGAAATAATTCCCCAACTTGAATAGGTAGTTTTTTTTTAATTAATTTTTTGCGTTTTTTTATTGTAGCTATATTGTAATTTTTTAATTTTTTCATTTTTTTATTTTAAAATAACTTGAAACACCAACTATAAACTACTCCCAATTTAAATGGGTATTTTTTTTTCGTTTTTTTAATATAGCTAATTTAATATAATCTATATTTTATTAATTCAAAAAGAGACTAACTAATTCAAAATTTAAAAAAAAAATTTGGTTAAAAAGTCAAGACAAATAATTAATTTTTTGCATTTTCTTTATTGTAGCTAATTTAATTTTTTATTATATAATTGCATTTTTTATTTTAAATAACTTTGAAACACCAAACTATAAACTACTCCCTACATTTGAAATGGGTGTTATTTTTTTTTATATTTTCGTTTTTTTAATATAGCTAATATATATATATTTATATTTATTAATTCAAAAGGAGTAACTATTAATTCAACAATTTTAAAAAGTTTTTTAGTTAAAAAGGTAGTTGTTTTTTGTCTTAACAATGACACTATGGCTTTTTGTTGATTATGCACTTGGCTTTTGTGATTATGGGTAGTTTTTTTTTTTTTTTTTATATTTTCGTTTTTTAATATAGCTAATTATAATATATTTATATTTATTAATTCAAAAAGCAGTAACTAATTAATTTCAAAATTTAATAAAGTTTTTTTGGTTAAAATGGTAAGAGAATAATTAAATTTTTTGCATTTTTTTATTGTAAGCTAATTTAATTTTTTATTATTATTCATTTTTTTTTATTTTAAAATAACTTTGAACACCAACTATAAACTAACTCCCAATTTTGAATGGGCAGTTTTTTTTTATTTTTCGTTTTTTATATAGCTAACTATAATATATTTATAATTTATTAATTCAAAAAGAGTAAACTAATTATTTTAATTTTATAAAGTTTTTTTAGTAAAAAGGTAGTTTATTTTTGTCTTAACATGACACTTAGCCCTTTTGTGATTATGCCACATGGCTTTTTGTGATTATTGGGTAGTTTTTTTTTATTTTATATTTTCGTTTTTTAATGTAGATTTAATAATTATATTTATATTTAATTAATTCAAAAGAGTACTAAATTAATTCAAAATTTAAAAAAGTTTTTTTGGTTAAAAAGGTAAGACATATATTAATTTTTTGTCTATATTTTTTTATTGTAGCTTAATTTAATTTTTTTATTATTTTTTCATTTTTTATTAAATAAAATAACTCTTGAAACACCAACTATAACTACTTCCCCAATTTGAATTGGGCAGTCTTTTTATTCAATACTTTTCGTTTTTTAATAATAGCTTATCGTTATTATTTATTTATTAATTCAAAAAGAGTAACTAATTAATTCAAAATTTTAAAAAGTTTTTTAGTTAAAAAGGTAGTTTATTTTGTCTTAACAATGACACTTGGCTTTTTGTGATTATGCCACCTGGCTTAACCACATGCTTCACTACTCTCCTTTTAATATAATATAGATAGATATTTAAAAAAAAATTACCTATGAACATGTTATTTCTAGAAAATAGGCCCCTCAAAATTGGGGGCCTAAGGTGTATGCCTTATAATCTACAACATTAGAGCCGCCCTGCATTTGGTAAATAAAATCAATAAATTATCATAATAATTTTAATATTAAGAAAATACTTTGAACCTTTTGAAGAGGTTTTAGTAACCAAAGTCACATAACATTCACCAAAATTTAAGTAGCAAAATACGTGGGCAGAAGTGTGCACGATTTAATTCGAACACCATTTATATAAATACACTAATTTTTCTTCAAATATCTACTTGAATAAGTAAATATTTTCTTAGGTGAAAAATATTTTATAAACTTTAATAGAAAAAAATTCTCTTTTACTTGTGTGGTTAGGATTAGGAAGCATCTATTCCCATTCAAAGTTGAATACGACATGTTAAGGTACCCCCTAGGCAGCAATATTCTATTTTCTATTACAATATGTACCCCTCGTCCCAAATTTTTACAAGCTGACTAAAGTGAAACTTTCCCTCCAATCCAAGGGTATCTTTGTCCATTCGGACAAGGGCGGCGAAGACCCAACACATTATATATTGACCCTTCGACCTCTACAAAAATCAAAATTTTAGGTTTTGCATTCTTCATATTCAAAGCAACAAAAAGAGAGAAGATGATAGAGGTGGTTTTGAACGATCGATTGGGGAAGAAGGTGAAGGTGAAGTGCAACGAAGATGACACCATCGGTGACTTGAAGAAGCTGGTTGCTGCTCAGACCGGTACACGCGCCGACAAGATTCGTATCCAGAAGTGGTACAATGTCTACAAGGACCATATTACCCTCAGGGACTACGAAATTCACGATGGCATGGGCCTTGAGCTCTACTACAACTAATTCAATAGGTAACTTTTGGAATTTGAGGAGGGTTTTTTGTGTTACTTTTGGAGTGTGATCTGATGGGTTTTTTTTTTTTTTTTTTTTTTTTTTTTGGGTTTGAGCTAAGAAACTTTTGTTAATATGAATTATGATTGAATTTTTACTCTGCTTTATGATCAACTGATGGGTTGATTTTATGAATTATGATTTTGTGTTTAGTTGAAAATTTGGGTTTGATCTGTGTTCTTGATGTTTGGTTGGCTTGGAATTGATTTGTTAATTTGCTTATGTGATTGAGGTTTTACTCCCCCTTTTGGCGATTTGTTGTATGTATATGTTGTTGGGTATACGAAGGTTTTATGCAATTTGGGGTTTGATGGTCTGAACTGTTGTAGTATTCGTGAATGCATCCCTCTGTATTTTGAGGGGGCAACGCGTTGGGAATTTTTTTTAGGGGCTGTGCCAAAGCTTTGAGAAATCCCAAAACTTTTATTCAAATTGTAAGATGTGGAAAAGGTGTTTATTCCCAACTGGTTGTTGTTGCTAAAACTATGTAGAACGGTATCAAATATATAGTTGCCCATACACGGGCGAAACTATGTATGGCAAAGGGTTGTCCACTGAACACCCTTCACCAAAAAATTATACTATGTATAGGGCAAACTATTACTTTTTTTATTAAAAAATAGACTTTGAACATCCTTGCATAGCCCATTGGCTAAGGGTGTTAAAAATTTGAATACCCTTGTTGAATTTCCTAGCTTCACGTATGGGCCATACACTTGTATGATACCATCAAGTTGGTGCCTTTTCTCTTTTACAACAACAATGGCTTAGCTTGATACAAGTTGGTGTTTTCTCTCTTTTAGTTGTAAAAAAATATCTTGAAATTGGACTGAGATCGCTTGAGTCCTTGGATAAACACCCAGAAGTAACCATACTTGGGTACCATAACCTTTAAACTGTTTATGATTCGGAAAGTTAGAAATTATGCAATCTTCTACCTTGAGGTATTTCGGTTGTTTTTGGTGACAGTAATGTACTTCTGACTAATGAAATTGGTGAAATATGCTCTCAAGTTATTAAAGAAAACGTCTTTTAGTGCCATATTAGGATGTATGCAAAATATATAAAAACGAACAAAGAAAGAAGTTATCTCCTAATAATAGTGTCTTCGAGTCTTGGCTACTTTTCAGTGTGTCTTTGCTACATCTTTGGTGCCCAATGCTTCTTTATTCGGGTAGCAAAGGGACTCAATAGAAAGAAAAAGTTACATTCCCCATTGAACTTTAAAAACCATGAAATAACGCGTGATATCAAACTATATCAGAGCACTGACTCCCTCGGTGCTAAATGCTTATCTATTCGGGTATCAGGGGCAACTGCATATGCAGCCTTACCCACCCAAGATATAGTACTCAATAAAGCTCACCTCCAGGCTCCATTACTTTGATGAGGCAAGCAGAATGAGTGGTTTTACTGGTGCTTTATAAAATTAAGAGTGCCTAGTCTTTAGGTATCGGTGAGCTGCTGGTTTAGGATTTCAAGAGAATCATTTGTGTTTAGAGCAAAGCGCCTTGAAATAGGATGTGTGGACGTAAAATGAAACCAGGGATATTCCATGAATGCTCAATGTGTGACATTCTATGTGGAAGACAAGGTATGTGGTTCTGCTCCCCATGTTGCCCTGACTTGGTGCTGTATTCTGAAATTTCAGAGGATTACTCTTCTAGAGAGTAATTGATACATTGATGACATTTCTTTTATAGTAGCCCACTTATTTTCTATCACTGTGATAAAGGACCTACTACTGAATTGCTTGTGTGATATTGTGTTAGCAAGTTTTGGTTTGATTGTGTTTCCAGTGCATTGTTTACTGTAGCATATCTATGTATTACTCCTGGCCATTGATATTCATTATTTCCATGTATTATTTTAGGTTTATCTTGGATGGAAATGTACTGGGGACGTATCTGAGCTACCATGTTTTGAATAAAAGCTTGATTATTGGCTTGTAATGAAAAGTTTGACATGTTTAATCGACTCGAAGGAAAATGCTCCAACTTTGTGATTGTGAATGCCATGTAACTGGTCGGTATTTTGCCTTGTGTACAAGGAATTATATTTGTAAGAGATTTTCTTATTAGAAAAACTGTGGTTGAACAAACTTTGGCTACGTAAAATAATAGAATTTGTGACTGAGCTTCCTTGTTCTTTTTTTTGCTTAAACTAAACTGTTGTCTTCAAATACATCTTCCAAATAAGGACACATACTTAGCATCTCAAGAAATATAGGTTTTGTTTCACACTTGGTACAACAGGGAGTGCAGAATTAACTAAATTTCTGGTATAAGAACTATTTCTTACTTGCCTATCAAAAAAGAAAAGAAAAGAACTATTTCTTACTTGCGGAGACAGTCCACATAGCACGCGCTGATGCGCACACACAAACACAAATGTGTGTATTCTTAACAGATTTTGAACTCCCTAGAAATCAGGTATACTATTATACTTATACAAGGAAATATCTGTATTTTTAGTGATGTTAAAGCTTGATTCTAGTGATTCTGTAACACAAGACAACTACTAAAAAGACGGTCATACAAGTTCCAAACCTATTACTACATTAACCAAAGGATCAGCAGACTCATCAAATCAAATTTGAAAAACTACCAAAGTAGACACATGGACCTTTCTTTCTTCGCAGAATTGGGGGTCGGAATACCAAGTCTCATCAGCCACAGCTCCAGGAATTAAACGATTTTTGTTGCATATAATAGAAGCAGTAGAAGAAGTTATCACCACTCTTCTGACAGATGGTGATTTGGCACATGACCTAAGGACATTTAATGTTCCTTTTACAGCAGGATCCACGAGTTCCTCCTGAAAGATGGAAAAAGATAATGTTTTCTTTTAAGTTACATACAAACATGCTCCTCTTTGAAGACATCTCTTGGACATCAGTACACTAATTTAATCGAGGACTGCAACAAAACAGGTTTCTGACTTGGATTTTGCTGTGAGAGAAACAGGGGGTGCTGTATGAAATACTCCTTCACAACCATCAATAGCAGGATCAAATGATCGCTCTTCAAGTAACTCAGCTTTGAATAGATGCAGCCTCTCTTTAGCTCCGTCAAGTCTTAGCAGGTGATCCATTTTGCTTGTATCCTCTGCGTGTTTATAACTAACATTTTAGATGCAGAGACACTCTGATACGTTCAAAGAATTAATAGCAATCAGCTGAGCCCATGATCACGTCAAATTGTTGCAGAATTTCTATTCTGTCCTGAATATCAAATGTATGTGAAACCACCACTTCGATTTGACTAAAACAAGAACTGAATGGACATAACATTTCTGAAAGTCAATTTCGTATTATTGATATCTCAGTGACTTTAATATTATACTTCAACATGACGAGAAGCAATTCGTGAGTCTACTGTTATACTAGGTAAAGTTAAGTTATTTTAACGTAACAAAAATTATAGTTGTAACTTAACTATTATAGTAGAGAAAACTCGAAATTAACTCCACTTTCTGATGATAGATATCAGAGCCCTCTATTGAAATATATTATTTGTGCTTATTTAGTGAAGTTTTAACATGTATACAGGGTTTGAGCCAAAGCTAATGGGTTTAATGAACCCATAACTTTAACACTATATCCGCCCCCGTCAGTGGCTGATGTACATGGACACTTGTGGGTACTTAAGCACCCATTAACTTTGACTATATTTAGTAAATTTACATAGGTAATTGTACAAATATTTAGATAAATATTGAGTGAACACCCACAAGTAAATTTATTTTTCCTATTCTTTTGAAGTCTTTATCGGCGAGCACCCATAACTTTAAAATCCTGGATCCGCCACTGCCCCAGTTGGCCAGTCTAATTCTAGTTCTACTGCTCCTATCTATATATAAAAAGAATAACTTCCCGATTAGCAGATAGAGCTTCTCATAATTTTATGATGAATTAGGAAAAGAAATATACATCGACCTGCTGAAGTACATTGACTTCATCTAAATCTTGGAGTCAGATAGCTGCATGAATAATAGGAGAAGCATGATATTTGGACCTTGGTACAAACGTGGACCAAGAAAATGAAACCAATTCAGAAATCAAATAGAATAAACAAGCTCATGAAAATGATCCAAAGTTAAAGTGATACACAAATAATACTAAGAAATAAATCCAAAATATTGAGAGAAAGAAGAAAGAGAGCTGACTGAGGTTGCAAACAGTGGCATTGCCAGTGTAACCAAGTTGTAGCAGCAACAAAGCTATGAAACCAGAGGCCCCAGTTACACATACCACCTTTCCTTCTCCACTACTCTTGCTTTCCATTGCTTGCCCTGATACAGTGATACTGGTTCTAGTGATTCAGAGTCAATGCAGAGAAGGTAAACTGTGCCTACCCTTTTCTTTTCTGTTTTGGTGTGTGGACGGCAGCTGAGGGAGTCCCAAGCTTTTCTAATGATCTTTTGGACAAAAAACACGTTTTTACTACTAAAAAAAAAAGTTACGTAACTACCTAACTAATTTGCAGTATTATACTGCGAATTACTTTAACCGAAATTTAGCCGTTAAAGTAATTCGCAGTACAATACTGCGAATTGAGTACACTCCGATTTTTGGGCCCAGCAATTCGCAGTATTATACTGCGTATAAGCAATTCGCAGTATAATATTGCGTATTGCTTTAATAAAATAAAGACTCCTTCTTCTTCCCCAAGACAATTCGCAGATACCCATTAAAAAACAATCTCACCCCACTGCTGGTCCCCCCACTTTCCAGTTACTTAGTATG